GCTAATATCTATACTCTCTATATATTTTATATATAAAATAAGTACTAATAATCTCCCTTAATATAAAGTATAACGTTATACTCTAAGTAGCTTAATTTTAAATACTTTTAGGGTACTTACTTATTAAGGCTATTTATAGATACTATATTTAATAGAGCCCTCTATTTATATATAGAGTCTATACTATAGGTAATATAGAGTAAATTAACTCTCCTTTTTACTTATATATAGGCTGACTATAAAATATTATTATTCCTTTTATCTATTACTTAATATAGATAAGACCTCTATTAAGCTTTTATTAATAGCTTAAACCTCTAAATAAGGTAGGTAGAGAGTAGTCTATATTATTACTATTAGCTTATAACTTTATTCTATATAGGTATACCTTAGTATTATAAAAAGAAGCTATTTATAATATAGATTTTAAGGAGGAAGTTTTAAAAGAGTACTTATTACCCCCCTCTTTATATAGAATAACTATATTAATAGTAAGACCTTATTTAGTTACTTATATCTATAGCTCCTATATAGTAGTTATATTAATTAATTACTAAGGGTACTAAAAGCTCCTTTTAAACGTTTAAGCTAAAGACCTTATAGGCTTTCTTTTTTACTATTAAATCTTTAGTAGGCTAATATTAGTTCTAGAGAACTTTAGAGGTCTTTTAGAAGATTATTATAAAGAAGAGTATAAAGGTATTATCCTTTTAAATAAACTAGTTGACTTATTAAATAATCTATTAGCTTTTAAATAACTAAAATAATATAGAAAAGAAGCTTCTATTAATATATTATCTTATTAATAGTTAAGATATAATAAATAGTACTCTATAAGATATTTTTATCTTTATTCTCCTTTTTAGTAATAAGTTTAATATTAATTCTATTATCTTTTTAATAGGTTTTAATCCCTTTAATCTTTTACTTCTAAAGGGCTTTAAGGAGCTAAACTAAAATAAAGAGATTATCTAAAAATATATAATATTTAGTACTAAATAGGAGGCTAAATGTTATGACCCATTAGGCATAACCAATAAAGGACGCCCTACTAGGATACTAGGCGGTTATAATAACACACTTATATATAGGATCACGGGAACACATAAGGATCCCTTAGGAACGGAAGAACTATAGTGTAGGTTACATAACGATAAGATAAGAGATTAGATCTATATAATTAAGATATAGCATCTATATTCCAGAAAGACGGAAGCCGTATGCCAAGGATACAGGAGCCATACAGGGCATATATAGCACCTAGCAATAGGACTACCCAGGACCTATATATAGGATAGACTTAAGCCCGCTTAAGGACAAACTTCTATAGCTCTTTAGTAATTAACTTATAATTATTACTTATAATACTTTTAGCTATACCTAAATAATAATTACTCTATAACTCTTATTAAGGCCTTAACTAATTACTAAGACCTTTAAAGACCTATAATTACTTAATTAGACCTATAAAATAACTAATTACTATTTATAGTTCTTAATCCCTAACTTACTATTAATATAAACCTACTATTAGTTAGCTAGCTATAATACTTTAATTACTCCTATTTAGTAAGTTACCCTTTAAAAACTATTAATAGTATTATAATATCTTTATAACTCTCTAAAAAGACCCCTAGTATTAGATCCTCCTCTAGCGCTAGGAAGGCCCCTATTAAGAAGAACCTTACTTAAGAACTTAGGGATTAGAGAATAAAAGATAATAGTAATAGTAATAATAATAATACGCTTAAGGAATAGCTTAAATAAGCTAACTATAATATCTAATAGATATAGGAAATATTTAATACTAACGCCTATACTACTAAAGAACTTTAGGCTACTATATACCTATCTAACTAGTATACTTAGGAACTTAAATAGTAAAACTATACTCTTTAAGCTATTACTAATATTATTACTACCCCTATTATAGAAAGATAAGAGAAGCTTTAACTTAACTCTCTTAATCCTTTTAATAGATCCTTAAGATAGCTTAAGGGATTCCTTATTTAAGTTAAGAACTACTAGAATTTCTATTATAGTAACTTTAAGAATAGAACTAAAAAGGTTATCTATATATCTACCTTCCTTAAGGGATAAGCCCTCTAGTAGTTTAAACCCTTCCTTAAAGAGTACCTTAATAAGGAAATACTTAACTACTATTCTACTAAAGTTAGAGATATTTTTAGTAGCTTCTAGGGCTTTAAGTCCGCCCTAAAATCTCTATTCTAAGACCCTAATAAAAAACAATAAGCTAAATAAGACTTATTTTACCTTAAATAGACTAAATTAGCTAAAGACTATACTATAGAGTTCTAATAGATCTATACCTAGCTAGACTTAACTAATAAAGGTAAGATCTTTATATTCTATAATAACCTTAAGGATAAAGTTAAAGATAAAATTATTAAGGTTAATAGACCTAAAGACTTCCTCTAGTATATTAAGCTTACTATTAAGATTAATAACTAACTATATAAGTAATATAAGGAAAAAAGCAAATAATAATAACCTACTAACTCTAGCTATAAGTACTAGTAGTAGCCTAGATACTATAATAATAATTAACGTAATAAACGTAATAGCACTACCTATAGATACTATAGCGGACCTATAGATCTTAGTGCGGCCTAGCGTAATAATAATAATAAGGGTAATAGCTAGAAGAAGAATATTAAGTACTATAACTATAATAAGA